CTTGCTGCTACCCCGGGAGCTGTCAGACCAGCCTCAGGAGCAGAGTGAGAGATTCAGCAGCCTCTATTCATATTCTGCGTGGGATTTTTAATGGATTTAATTCTATTTTATTGTTATGATTTAAAAAGTACTCTTCAAGTTAAAATTACAGCTCCAGTCTAGATTCTTCTTAGTGCTTTCTGGAAGGATTTTCTCAATTTACAAGCTAAAACAACTCCCCAAACTCTCCAGTGCAAGCTGTGAGGCTGAGCCAGGTGCAGAGGCCTGCGAGCATCTATTTGCCTCTTCTGTGTGAGCAGAAAGGTGTGTTTATGCAGGGAACACGGTCAATATTTACCTGTAGAAACCAGGAACGAGCTAGGGGTGACCATATAAAGTGAGGAGTACGTTAGAGAGGACCTTTCAGTGTGATGGAGCAAATCAGACCCAAACATAAACTGAAATCTCTGTCCACATGTAGAAGATGCTGCACGGAAACCGATTTTGTGATCTGTCTTGCAGGAAAATCAAGACCAATTATTTTATTGTTTCCCTTGCCTTTGCGGACCTGCTGGTGTCAGTGCTGGTGATGCCGTTTGGAGCCATCGAGTTGGTTCAGGACAACTGGATCTATGGAGAGATGTTCTGCCTGGTCCGAACGTCCCTCGACGTCCTGCTCACCACGGCATCCATCCTGCACCTGTGCTGCATCTCGCTGGACAGGTATGAACAGAAGAGCATAGAGAATGATTATAGTTGCTTTGAGTTTCTTCGGTGGTGTTGCCAAAGGGCAAATATGAACCTGCTGGGATAGATACAGCAACGAATCTCTCCCGGTAGCTGATTTAGGGGGGAGCTCTCTGAATCCTCATCCATGTAGGAAAACTCGCTATCGACAGAGCCAGCCAGGTTCACGGCTGCTTTGCGGCACAGCTGTTTGCATTACTGACGAGATGTGGCACAGTTTCTCCATCAAAGTAAAGACAAGGCGCCTTAAAGACGTATCAAAAGAAAAAACGTGCAGCTGTCGCGGACGGAGGCGCATCGTGCACAGGACGTTGTTTTAGCAGGGACCTTGCTCTCCGTTGCAACGTCGGGTGCCGCTCGCTGCCAGGGCTGCGGGGAGGCTTGGCTGATGCAAGGCTGGATGTGTTGTGCTGAGCCCCGTCTTCCCAGGGACTGAAACGCTAAATTATCTGGCTTTCTCGTCTCAGAAAAATATTTGACATACCTTTCACGCGCTGTCAGAACTGCTCTTCCTGCTGCTAGCAGCCATACAGGCAGATGGAAACCAATGCTACTAAATGACACATTCTGGCATGTATTACTAGATTATATGGAGAAAGAGTAAAACGAGCAAACCCCCCTAAATTCTATGGACTGTTTTTCTAAGGCATCCATTTGCACATCTCCACTAGTGACTGCTAAAAAGGAGGCTTTGTGGGAGATCCTAAAAGCTTTCTTTTCATTCAAACCTGTCTTGCAAAATTAAAATGAAGGCAAAATCCTAAATAATTTGTGGCAAACAATTCTGTTTTACTGTTGTCTGCAGTTTTTCAGGGTAAGTGGCAGAACTTTCCATACAGAATAGCAAGAATTTTTATAGGATAAATACTTAGAAGAAAACGTTTTGACCGGCTATTCTAATAAGCAATATTTAGAGCTTTCATTTGAGTTCTGTGCAGAGGTTTCAGTAATTTTAAAAATGCTATTACTTAGTATTACTAATATAGCCAAAATAACCATAATCATTCTTGGCATCATGACAACTGATATTTAAATAGCATCTTCCATCCAAAGAGTCTGTACCCAGCCAGACTTCAAAAGGTACTTGATTAACTTCACTGATGGGCAGCACTCCTTTTTTGTGGGAGGCAGAGGCACCGGCACATGCAGTATTGTACCCAGAGAGCAGCTGACGTGCCATAGCTGCAGCGTGTTTCTTTTTCTGGAAGTTTAGATGGCTGGAACACAAATAGGAAGCTCATTATCTTAAAAACGTTGACAAATTGCCACTTTGAGCCAAGTACTAGTAAAGCAGATGTTAGGCACTGCGCTCTGGTTGTGGCTTTGTCACATAAAATGTTGGGGTTTGTTTCTTCTCTTTCTTGTTGCTAATTAAACGTAGGGCGTTGTGTAGAGAAGGGGACTGGAAGGGAAAATACTGTTTTCCCCCCACCCCTTCACCCCCTGATCTCTGACACCCGCAGGGGATGGGGAACCCCTGTGTGGGGTGCACGGAAGGTTTCTCCCACCTGTGCCACCCTATGTCATGAGCTCCTGCCGCCTGTCCCCGTCGGTCCCCATGCTCCTGGGACAGCCTTGCCTGAGGGTGTCGAAGGCGTCGGGGCAGCCTTGGGACTATGGCTGTCGAAACGCGTGGCTCAGAGTTAACGTTTTAGCGATTCAGAACAGAGATCACAGCTTTATACAGGAAGATTTTCTTTCTGTAAACAGTTGTGAGGCAGAGTTTGCAAGCACCCAATTCAGTAGATGGAACTGGAAATGGAAGAAAGAAAACCCGCACAACCAAAAAAACCCGAAAAAGAGATGGATTAGATTATTCTGTACTAAATGAAACACTCGGAGCGGAGTGTGAGCACCTGGAGAGGACTACAGCTCTGCTCTTCCTTCTCTGCTCTTTTATTCTCTGCCCAGGGAGTCTTGAAGTCTCTCTGCCAGAGGCGGAGCTGCCGCAGCAGAGGGTGAGCATCGCTGCCTGCAGTCATGCCTGGATGATTCCCCTTCTTTTGGACAGAGGGAAATGGGAAGCTTAGTCTGGGGACCCCAACTCCATTCCCCCATCCCAAGCCAGTGCTTTAATCACTAGAATATTACACGGAAGAGAACGGCTGTCTTGAAAGAAAGCAGGAGCTGTAACTGTGTTTTGGAGGGGATGAATTCTCTAAGCTTGTTCCCTGTGTGTTCCGAGAGGGTTTGGGGAAGGTGCAGCACCCCTGCTCTGGGGTCTGAGGCTGATGGGCACTGCGCTTGAATGAGTCTCCTATCAGCATCGCTCCATTTAAGTAGCTCGACCTTCTGTGGTAAAACTATCCTGGTTTTAAAGATTTCTGCTTACTGAGTGTGTATTTGAAACTGTTGCTTGTACAGAAACATTCTTCCCATTCCTGCAGGATTAAAAAGATTTTTTAAAGTAGAAGGAATAATAGACACACACCCCCTGGCTAAAAAAACCCCACATCCACCAATCTTGGTACCAAACTGATTGAAAATAAGTGAAGGTCCCAAGAGCTGGAGATCATCTTAAGTGTCACAGAAAAAAAAAAAATCTTTCAGAAAATGCTTATAAACATTTTCCTCATGAAGGCACTGACAGAGATAAGCCCCCCAATATTTGCCATCCCGCCAGTATTGGCCATGCTAGACTAAACAGCAGTCAAATTGCTTGAAAAGAAACCGAGGGTGAATTCATTGAGTGATGGGTGTGCTGAAAACCTCTGCAAGTTCAGGGGTGAGGGAGCAGAGCTGCACTGTCTGGGATACAGAAACACAGTGGCAGTCTTTGACAGCTGACAAACCTGATTGCCAGATGTCAGGGAATTATTTCAGGACATACAAATGCTCTTTCTCTTTCACATGTGTTTACTGTACATGTGCTGTTCTTTGCTCTCAGGCAGAGCAAGGGGAAGAGAAAAGGTTGTCCAAGCCAGTGGCTGGATGCAGCTTGACATGGGTAATTATTGCAGCCTTTACCGTTTGCTTGGTGCTTTCATGCTGAAGAATGATACCCCTGCAAACTAGTTGTGGTGCTGATCTAAATTTTAGGTATTTCTCTGGTACTGTGTTTTTCTTGTTTCTCTTCTCAAAATGGCTTTACTGAGCGCTCGTTAGAGCAACGGCCACCACACACAGCACCGTTAGCAAAGCACGAACAGCAACATCCCCGAGACAGGCTGCTCATCAACAAAGGCGCTTGAATTTGCCATAGAAACTTTTCTCTATCGTATAATCTCTGCAGGGCACATATAGCTCTCCCAGCCATTCAGTCTTGCTGTAGAAGTTCATCTTGGGTGCTCTTTTGAATCCAGGGGTAATCATTTGGAGCTTTGCCACTGACATGGAAAAAGCCAGGACTTCATCTTTGACATTTCAAAAGATACATCTCTTCTCCCAGTGCAAAAAGGCACAATTATGCCTGCGTGTGCTGACAGTGTCAGCTGAAAGAGGAAGCCCAAGATCTCTCTGTCTCATGTGAAGAGGAGAATCTCAAGTCAGCAGCGTGGCTTTCAAACCGTCTGATTCGGTACCAAGACTACGGGCTTCTGGGTCCTCCCAGGACCAAATGCCAAGTTTAAACTACCCACCATAGTGCTCTAGACAGACCAACTGTCCTGTGGCACTGGACTAGCTTTCCTGAACTGCTGTAAATGAAAATATCATGGAGGTGGGTCAGTTCCTAGTCATCTTCCTCTCTTAAAGCTGTATTTCTTCCTCTGATGGATTGACTGACTGATTAACATGATTTTCAAAACACAACTTAGCAGGACACCATTAGGGTACTGTAGCCATCACTGAAGTTGTTTAACACCCACCTGAGCACCATCCATCCACCATCCATCATCCCTGAACACAGAAACAGTCCTAACCTGACTAGGAATTTCTGTGCTGATTTGTGAGCTTATTCATGTCCCAAACAGTCTATTAAAAAGACTTTCTTTCTTCCTGAATTACTACTGTATATGTTATTTTACATTTCTGCAATGCTTGCTCACTGGCAACCTGATCAGGTAAGTCAGAAAACACCTTGTACAAAAGCAGTTCCTCTCCACCACACAAGCCACAGAGCCCGACGCCTGCAGATCCAAAACCTGATACCCCTCACCTGTCAACACCGTCAGGTCTACACATTCACTAAGACCGAGGACATTAAAAATTTTTCTATTGAGCCTGTTCAATAAACCATTTTCTGATTGAAATGAAACATGAAGTCTTTCCCTCCATCTCCCAGAGGAGGCATTTGGGTGGAAGAAGACAGGAAGAACATAGTTTGGTTTTGGCCCTTATCACATCCCTAAGATGTCCCATGGTCTCTTCCTTGCTGCATTGAGGGGAATAATTATGCTTGTGCCATGTCCTGCTGCAGGTCACCTGGAGCTAGCGACAGTCCCACTTCACTCCTGTGTCCTTTTTGCAGAGATTAATTTACTTTTGCTGCCATGAATTTGGCTGCTGTTCCAAACCTCCTCAGCAAGCAGGACAACAGGGATTTTCAACACAGCTTGGGTGGAGTGGTGGATATGGAATAATAGCTCTCTTTTCCATACCAAAAGAAAGCAAAACCCCACCTTTTAAATCTGCCTTTTTCTCCTTCACGCTGTGCCACCCCTTGCTGTGACTGTCCCGGGAGTATCACTTCCAGGTGTGTTTTGGTCTGTGATCATCCTGAGAAGGGCAAGGAGAAAATTTCGACCTCACTTCATGTCTGTGCTAGAGATGAAAAGTGAAAATATCCAGACTTCAGTCACATTTGAATAGATACAACTACAAAAATTTTCTAAATTCTACCTATTTCTCAAGCACTTTGCCAGTTTTTAAAGTCCTCTTCCTTTTGCAGACTGAACTCAAAAGGTTGTGCTGTTCCTGGTGCACGAGTTAAAACGTGGGTACCTGACACTGCAGTCTAACAGTGATGAGTGACTGGACAAAGTAACCATCCTCTACCCCAAATGAGCAGCGTAGCCAACATGTGCTCTTCACAGCAA